AGGCGTGCGCCACCACCGCCCGGCCTATTAGGCCATTTTTATTCAAACCACCACACAAGTATTATTTCATGTAATCAAGTTTTGCATAATAATATATTAGCTGGGTCACAAACAAAATGAGATTGGAGGTCCAATTTTTTTTTGTCCAATATATTTTTAGGTTAAAAATATTTTGCTCATTAAGGAAGGAGCCCCGAGCTCTGGAAATCAGCTGCTACTAATAAGATGACTAAAAATCCATTTTTTAAAGGCAGGTTGAAGAGGTATCAGGGTTTTCCTTGGAAACAATTTAATGGCTTTCATAATCTGTGCACAAATGATCACAGTTCAATAGTTCAGTGCCATAAAGCAAAACTATGTAATTTGCGTCTAAAATTTATCTAAACAGTTGTCATCAATCACCCATAGTAACTGTAAAAAATCTATTTAGTCAATGATAAACATTTCAGCTTTAATAAAATGAGTGGTTAGCCTTCCAACCTAAATATATTACAAATGGTCTCCTCATTGCCCTAAATTTTATTCTATTACACTAGGTTATTTAAAAATAATGGCATTGGGCTGGAGAGAAGATTCAGTGGGTAAAGGTGCTTGCTACCAAGGCTGATGACCTGAGTTCCATCCATAGAACCCTCATTGTGGAAGGAGACAATCCTGCAAATTGTCCTCTTGTCCTTATTTGCATGTGGTACACATGTAAACACACACACAAATACATTTTTTTAAAAAAATTAAAATAAGAACACTTGCTAAAATGAGCATTGTTTTAGAATAGTTCATTGTAAGCAATTTTAATAATTTAGATATGTTAAAATTTCTCCCAGGAAATAGACACATCCTGCATCGCTTGGTACTAGAAACCTGAGTGGGTAGATGTGGGAATGAAGAAAGGACAGACACACACAGAGAAAAGCTATGGTCAGCTGGGATGTGTTCCCTCTGATGGAGGGCACCTACTCAGCAAGCAGGAAACTCATTTATCATGTTCAGCACAAGGAAGAGGGGGTCAGCAAGTCTCAGTGGGAGGTCTCTGTCCTGGAGCAGTCTCGGGCTATAATCACTCAGAAGAAGGAAGTTGTGGTTGATGCTTTCTGTATACACTGTCAGTGTTCACACATGGTCCAGGGAGAAGCATTGCCATTTCCTTGAGCTTGACCCAGAGAAGTCTTTGCCATTCCTATGGGTCTGAATCATTGAGAACCATGATATAACGTAGCCGGAAGTTTCTCTGGTCCTGCCTGGTCTGAAGGAATCTCTCCCACCCATGTCCTGCAGCTGTTTGGTCACAAGTAAACACACAGAGGCTTAGCCCAAGGCCATGGGCGGGGCAAATACCACTACAATATGCTGTACTAACATCAACACATACTCAGTACTGCATCTGCTCCCCACAGTAAATCGCAAAAATCATGTCCTCATCTGTATAGAAAAATTCACTCCTCTTTGTCCTTCATTCATTCAGCAAATGCTCACTGAGGTAGAGGAATATTGGTGAACAATCTAGACACAATCTTTGATGCTCAGAGTTTTCATCACAATCAGACAAAAGGTGGAAAAACAGTAACAATAAATTCAAAAGCAGTTCAATGACATAAAAATATAAGTTAAAAGAATTCCAAAAATGGTATTGAGGAGCAGGGGTATGGGGACATACTATTTCTCTTTCTTCCTTTATGCAAATTATCTGATGAAGTCAGCTATATTTTTTTTGTTGTTTTGTTTTGTTTTTTGAGACAGGGTTTCTCTTTGTAGCTTTGCGCCTTTCCTGGAACTCACTTGGTAGTCCAGGCTGGCCTGGAACTCACAGAGATCTGCCTGCCTCTGCCTCCCAAGTGCTGGGATTAAAGGCGTGCGCCGCCGCCGCCCGGCCAAAGCTATATATTTTTTTTAAGCCAGCATTCTTTTGTAGTTGTACTGTCGTAGGCTCAAAATTTGTTTCATGGGTTTGGGTTTATGCAGAGTTCATTTAACAATGCATAACTGATGAATTTCCAGAGACCTTAAGGATACCAAACAGCTAATTCTGATTCCCAAACACAAGTTTTGTTTACCTGATTACTACACATTTCAGTTTCAAAGCTTGACTCATGGAAGAAAATCCTGCCCACCTCTTGGGGCAGGGCAGCCTAGACAGCATATCCACTAGGACTCAAGAGGAGCATGAACAGGATATAAATAAAGAAAAGCAGAAAAGTTTGTGATGTTATCAGAGAGGTGGTCTCCCTGGCTCACTGTATGATGGCTGGAACTGTGCCAGACAAATGTCTTAGATCTGTCTACCATCTCTATGGTCTCTGCAGTAAGCACTATTACTGCTTTTCATCAGCCTGTACTTCTTCATGTGGTAAATATCTGTTAGAAAATAACCTGTCTTATTTTTGCCTTCTCTCTTCCTAATGAGTAGCAGAACAGTCTGTAGACATTAGATAATTCTGATAGTGACCAGTATAAATCAATCTGGAGATAGGACATTGTACTATGTGCAAAACTGATACTCAGCTCCATCATATCAATTTCCCAATGACGTGTTTATATTTATACCATGGTACTTATGCCTTATAACTGGAGAAAAGCTATAATTACTTTGAGGTATTTATATTCAAACTACTTTAACATACTTGGCATTACTTGCATAGTATCCTTTGGGGCTATTCTTCCTTTTGAGGTCAGTGTACTGCTGCATTTGAAGACCTCAAGAGAAAGGCTGCAAGAGTCAAGGCCACACCACTAACTTATTTACTGAGGTGTTGATCATAATAGTAAATTATACAAGTTTTCTCCCTTGCCTTTAGGGAACTAAGAGTCTGGGGAAGTTCATAGTCTACAAATGCTGTGATGACTCATTGCTCTTAGCTATGGACGCTGCATGAGGATTCTGGTTGTGTCTGAGGCAGAAATGAGGCATTATTTGGTGCTGTTTGTATGACCAACATCTCATCTTGTTCTCCTATCTCTTCCCCCACACACTACTTGTCACTTCCCCATTAGAGAAATAGCATTAGAAATAGCTTCAAACTTTTATTTACTTAAGATTTTTATTTATCTGTTTTGTGCATATGGGAGTTTTGCCTGCATGTATGTCTGTGCACGTGGGTGTCTGGTACTTGACGGGACTAGAAGAGGGATCAGGTCCTGTGGGACTGGGTTATAGATGGTTGTGAACCGCCATCTGGGCACTGGGAATTAAACCTGGGTTTCTCTGGAAGAGCACCCAGTGCTTTTAACCATTGATCCATCTCTCCAGGTCCACTTTGAAAGTTATATATTAACAGTAAAACCATCTGTATCCGCATTTTTATTTTTGCTGTATAGCTTGTGACTGACACTGCCCTCTATAATAGATACATTTATTTGCTATTTTCCCCAACATATTATTTGCTGCTCCTGGTGTTCATGTGTCCATCTGATGATAGCACTTTGATTCCCGACTCCATCCAGGTATGTTAGATAATTTTGGACTGTTTATGGCTCCACAAGCAAGGAGTACTCAGATCTGGCTGATTTCAAGGTGAGGTGTTCCGGAGTGGGCATGTGACCAACCAATGGCTCCAAGATGTAGAGTGAGCTGCACAAATTGAGAAAAATGCATTCACTCTTCTCCACTGGAAGATCATAAGTTGGAGCTGCTGAAAGAATTCCCTACAAAGCCAGTGTCAGCCCTTTGGTTTAACAATGCCTACAATCTACAGTACTCAGGAAGGGAGACATAAAGTCCATATAAATGTCCCTCAGGGTAGACTATTTGAAGTAATTGATATCTAGCCAAAAGTCCTAACTGATAAACAAATTTTATAATTTCAGTTAAGGGACCAACAGTTTTTTTCCAAAGATAATGGTGACCACTTTTCTGATACATATGTTGATTTTTTTTAATAAAAAATAAATGGTATTATCCTGACTTTAATTTTATAATATTTTACTAAAATAGTTATTCTAAATGTTGCCTTACATTTGAATATAAATATACATTTAGCTACAAAGTTATAGGTAGAATATTTTAAGAAGGTTCTGGAGCACTTTGTGTGGGGACGCTCTTCTTTGGCTCATTCGGAGCCTTCGCCTTGACCCGCTGCAGGGCTCCTCCTCGGATAGGTAGTTTTCTGAGAGCGATGTCTGTGTCAGCAAGAGGTCCCCCCAGTAACCGGGCAGGAGTGCTTTCCACCGTCACCACCCGACCTGAAGGTACCTGGAAGAGGAAAAGACACATATATATCTCATAGTCTACTTATAAGCCTTTTTGATAACAAAAAGCCCACATAACCTATGGTTTGCTCTGGAAAAGACACCAAGTATAACAGAAACAGTTTGACATAAGAGAGAGACAAGGACTTTGGTGACAAGAAAGTGGGCTTGAATTCTTCTATCACTCATTAGTTTTGTGGCCAGGGACAAACTGCCCAACAGAGATCACTAAGAAACTGGAATGTGTCACAGGTCTACTTCCGGGCAAAGGAAGTGGCTTATCCTACAAGCAAGATACAACCAATGCACTGACCAGCGCTGGCAGCAACTTCTTAGGAAACCTGGGGGCTGTGTCTGCTCTAACCTGGCACTGGCGGACTGGGGGAAGATGGGAAGTAACTTGGAGACAGCCTTAATGATGGAAAATTTGAACAACAAAAAGCAAAATATAAAAAGCAAAATTTCCTATAGAAATAACATCTTGGCAGCCCAAACTTCTTATCTATTAAGAAAGAGATGTGGGGGAAAAAACTCTTACCGTTGTGTTAAGACCTTTAATAACTGTTTGGTGAAATATTGCATTTTGTGGTCGTTCACTGTATTTAGAGGATTCTATAGCCTTTTCCTGGAGCCTTTTTGCTTTCTGGAGATTTTTAAATTATAAAGAAAACAGTATTAATTGCTAGAGAAGCATGATGGATGTACATTTGCTTTCCTATCCCCCATGCTGCTGCTTACAGAAATGGGATCCTTCAGTAAGAAGGTTCAGGATGGGGAGCAGGACACAGCTCTCTCTGGCTTACTCCTGGCTATTTTCCATTTGTAAAATGTGCTTTCAATTGTCAGTCTAAGAGTCAGGCAAGGATCTAACAGTGGTAGTATCCTACAGAACATTACTAGAAAAGTGGAAATAAACATTCATTCTTCAAAAAAAACACTGTCCTTAAGACTGGCTGGTTGTTGTGTATAATTCTGTCCCTAAGACTGGCTGGTTGAGCCGGCGGTGTTGGCGCACACCTTTAATCCTAGCACTCGGAAGGCAGAGGCAGGCGGATCTCTGTGAGTTCGAGGGCAGCCTGGGCTACAGAGTGAGTTCCAGGAAAGGCGCAAAGCTACACAGAGAAACCCTGTCTCGAAAAACTGAAAAACCAAAACCAAAAAAAAAAAAAAAGAAAAAAAAAACAACTCTGTCCTTACGACTGGCTGGTTGTTGTGTATAACTCCGTCCTTAAGACTGGCTGGTTGTTGTGTATAACTCTGTCCTTAAGACTGGCTGGTTGTTGTGTATAACTCTGTCCCTAAGACTGGCTGGTTGCTGTGTATAACTCTGTCCCTAAGACTGGCTGGTTGTTGTGCGTAACAGGAAGTGCTTTAAAGATCCTACCTTTAATGTTTTAGCATTTGATGTTCTAGCCAAGAAGTTTGTCCAGGATTTGTTAGCCAGTTCTCTTTGCTTATGTGTGGCCTGTATCTGAAACAAATAAGAAAATTAGGAATTTCAGTTTCTATGAAACACACCAAAGGCCTTGGAAGTCCCCATTTTAAAGGAAATGCCTCATTTTGCTAAAGGAAAATTTGAGGCTGACTAAAAAGGAAATTAGAATATATAACTTAATTTTAAAAACAAGTGTTTTGGGGGAATATTGGTACAAGACTTTACTCTGAGCACTCTGGAAACAGAGGTAGGCAGAAATATTTCAGTTTTAAGCCAGCCTGCTCTACAAAGTGAGTTCTAGGACAATCAGAGCTACATAGAAACCTTGCCTCAAAAAACAACCAACCAACCAAAAAAGTCTTAAAATGAAAAGGGTTATTCATTTTGTGGTTAAAGTTTGAACTACTTTCCATGAAAAGTAAAGCAAACTGCTGAAAACATTTTAATAATAAGCATTCTCAGCCAAGACTGGATACTTAACATAGTTCCTGTTTGTGAAGACATTATAGTCCAGAGAATACTAAATGCAGGATTTAAAGAGAAAGTCACAGGTGAAGATAAAGAGATTCTGTTGCCACTGATCACTAGTTTAGCCAAAATTATATTGGCAAAACTACTTTTAATCTATGACTGCAACAAGCTAAGCAATTCTGTGAGACTGCTAGTTTGTTGTGATGCTGTACTCTAGAAGGGCAACTACTAAGCAGCAACTCCACTTCTTAATAGGCTCCCCATCAAATGTCTAATCAGAGGACGCATGCCATCGGTGTGTATGTGTGTATCATACAAATATACATGATATCATTATAAGTACAATATTTTAGGGCTACTTAAGAACTGCTAAAAAAAAGTGGGGGCAGAGGTATGACAATCAATATTCAGTCAAAACAGCAAAGGTTCTGCAATTCAAAAGAACTAGTGGTCAGGAGGCAGCCTAAGTTCCATCTCTTCTTGGTTCTGAGCAGATCAGTCAGCTTATAGCAGCACTTGTGTCGTAAAAACCTTGTGCAAGCAAAACTTTGAAGCAATTAGCTGTGGAGTGGCATTCCACCGGTGAATGGACATAGGTACTAAGCTGTAGAATCAAACATTCAATAGTCTACGTGGAAAGATCAGGCATAGACAACACTTGGGAGATCATCTCAAGGAGCCGTAGGTGCTTAACTAGTTATAGAGAACCAAGACGAAGTGACATCTCTGGTGACATCTCTCTGTCTATGGGTGGCATTGTTTAAATGCCTCTTAGGTGGTCAAACAAACTAACTAACTAACAAACTATGTTGCAGTTTCTCACCTGTGCAAAGTTTTAGGGAAGGCTGCTATTTTCCTGGCTGACTTCTCTGTTTAGTAAGGTCAAACCAGTTTATGTAGGCATGTATAGAATCAATGCTCGTAAGTGTTTTGGAATTGAGGTGAGGATGAAGCTAAGGGATGGATAAGCTTATAGATGATAAGACAGAAAAGGTCTGTGACAGAATGAGGCATGAAAGACAACTTTATCTCTATTACAGGCAAACTGCCAGAATATATTAAAAGTATATATTTGTTTTTTTTTTTAATTTTATGTGCATTGGTGTTTTGCCTGCATTCATGTCTGTTTGAGGGTGTTGGATCCCCTGGAATTGGAGTTATGGACAGTGTGAGCTGCCATGTAAGTACCGGGAACTGAACCCAGGTCCTCTGGAACAGCAGCAGCTGCTCTTAACCATTGAGCTATCTCTCAAGCTCCCCTGAAAAGTATATATTTAACCAGGTTACAACTCTTAGAACCCTTTTGGACATTTCCAAGAATACAAGTGTGTCAAGTATCTCTTTACTTTGTAAAACATAAGCATATCGAATCAACGTACAGGGCTGGGGAGAGAACTCAGCCAGTGAATGGCTTGTTGTTCGAGCATGCAGACCTAGAACCTACAGAAAAAGCCTGGCATGGCGGCCTATGACAGTAAGCCCAGTGATGGGGAGGAAGAGACAGGAGGATCTCTGGGATTTTCTGGCCATCAATCCAGCTGAACTGGTGGATTCTGGGCTCAAAGAAAACCTTGTGGAGAGTGATTAAGACTGAACATCTACCTCTAGCTTCCACATTATGTACAAACTTTCATGCACATAAGTGTGTAAACAAGCATATACCACATATATTCACAGAAAAAGAAAACAAGAAATTAAATTATGATGCAAAACCAACACTGAAAACAGTGATTAGATTTAAATTCTTAACTCCACAGTTTCTTTTAAAATTGCACAAAGACATTGAAAATAACTATTAGATAAAGGAAAATAATTCAGTGTTGAAATAGTCACAAATAAGACAAATCTGTCTTATGGATAACTTCATCTACTTTATACACTGATATTAACAACTTGTGCCTCAAAGGCTCAGGGGTATCCTTGGCTTACTTTTGCATATACTCTTTGTTCATTTTGCACATCTTGGCGTGCTTGGCTTTCAATCATCTCACTTTGCAGGGAAGCAACCATCTTTCCAATATTTTCTGTTGCTGCTGTAATAGATTCCAAAGACATTTTATCTGACGTGACTAGTCTTAACTTTTCCAATTTTATTTCTTCACATACTTCATTCCATATTTCTCCAATCTGTTGTGGCAAAGTTTAAGTTGAGAATTTTAAATTAACAAAAGTAAGTGAAAAATTTTTACATAATTCTTTATGTAGTGGTTTTGTTAATGTTTACGCTTTTCCTAATTTACTTCTTGGGAACAAGTCAGATATGCTGAGAATGATATGGGTACCAGTTACATCTGAGTATTCTGGTTTATAGTTAATTCCCTTTCATAGCTGCAGAAACTGCTTTTCAAGCTTGGCTTTCTGAAGTATTGATGCTATTACTCCTTACAGCTCTCTACTGTAGGCTAGGTCATGCTGAATTGGGAGGAAGGGGCAGGCGGGGAGGGGGTCTTCTGAGAGCCTGGGACGTGTGACTCCCAGAAAAGGGATGTTGGTCTTCACCTACGAGCAAAGGCATATAACTGAATCTCAAGCTTTCAACTCCACACTTTCATTATGCTAGCATCTCCATTAAGCAAGGTATTAGATTATATTGAAATAAATAAACAGTTGTATCATCTAAAACAGAAATACAACCTGATTTTGCTTTCATTTGAAAAAAGACTTCTTCATTCACAACATCCAAATATATAATACACGCTGAAATAAAATGTTTACTTCAGAAGATTTTCCTGAGACTTCAAGAACATTTATTTACTCAGTTCACTTAGCGGAGAACTAAGCAACCTGGCTGTTTTTATATGAGATTTGATTAATGATGTAAAGAAACGATAAAGAATACTTTGGCAAGTAGTAACACTTTAATAAGCAATACCTTGCTTAACTTTGGCTCTACTGCTTTCCAAATGGTAAATGTTTTAAAAATCCCATTAGCCTTCAGAATGACTCTGTAATAGTCATCTCTTATATGCTAACAGTTGGGCTGACTGAGAATTTCATACATGCATATAATGTATCTACAAGTCCACCCCCATTCCTCTCCTCACCCTCTATTACCTTCTCCTGATATTCCCTCTCAGTTCCATGTGTTCTCTTTCAGAACAAACAGCCAACCCACAGAATCCACCTAGTATTATCAGTATATGTATGAGAGTAGGGTCATCTACCAGAGCATGTGTAACCTCGGGGCGGGGGTATCCCAAAGAAAACAGACCCTCCCTCTCCAAGCCGCTGTCGGTTGCCAATAGTTCCTCAGCTAGGGGTGGAATTCTCTGACCACCTCCCTGCTCCGTGCTGGGACTTTGGTTTTCTCTTGTGTAGGCTTTGTGCATGCGGTTACAGCCACTGGTCAGCTTATACATACAACTACTCTGTTGTATATCTGTGAGGTGCATGCTATCATAGCCACTGGTCAGCTTATACATACAACTACTCTGTTGTATATCTGTGAGGCATTGTGGCTCTGTCCATTGCATAAAATCTTGTCTTGTAAAAGAAATGCAAAGAATGGTTTGGGTTTTATATCATAATCATATAAAAAATAGAAAAAGAATACTAGACTGTGTGAACAATTGTACCAGTTATGGGTACATTTTTATTTCCCAACTTATTTTTGATCTAATAGATTTTAAGTTATTAAAACAGTACTTACTTTAAAATCAAGGTATCTATGTATTATACAGAGGGTGACAAAATCTTCAGCAGATAGGCCAGGTAAGTTTTCAAAATCTATCAAAGTTTGTTCAGAGAGAATTATTTTAATAGGAGCAAATGATTTCAAGATTTGTATTTCTATTATAAAAACAAATACAAACATACACTCCCACAACCAATCCTTCTGCAGGTTATCCTTACATAGTCATTAGCAAGAATTCATTCTTTCTGGACCAATGTCATAGAGAGTTTTACTATCAGAAGCTAAAGAGCAAGTGAGAATTTTTCTCTTAATAGAAAGAAAAGACTTTAAAAATTGAGATAATTCAGAATGCTAATGTTTAAGCCTAAATATCTGAATTAACTGTTTGCGGTCCTGCTACACACTGAAATTGCCTGGAAAGCCAAAAAAAAAAAAAAAAAAAAAAAAAAAAAAAAAAAAAAAAAAAAAAAACCCTTCTCTTTGGGCTCCACATCCCCAAATTCTAAGTTTTCAAAAATTACTCTTTTGGTGGGCAGGGGTTGTGCACGCCTTTTAATCCCAGCACTTGAAAGGCAGAGCCTCTGTGTGTTCAAGGCCAGCCTGGTCTACAGAGCGAGATCCAAGATAGGCACTAGAACTACACAGAGAAATCCTGTCTCACAAAAATAAAAGCAAAAAAAAAAATTATTCTCTTATATATTACACAGTTTAACCTGGGCACTGGGGTCATGAGGGATCATGCATTTATTGTACAAAGGGACTTTATTCATGAGTGTCACGTGGACTCTGCGGCAGAAGCAAGTGCAAGGATACTCGTCACATAGACAGCCTTGTGAATTTCAGGGTTTCTTACCCAGTTTTCCCAGCACAGCATAAATTTTTGCTCTGATATTCTCAGCGACATCCATAACTGCAACAGATGGGCAGTTAGCGGGCAGGGGTGTGATCTTTTGTTCTTCTTGAAAACTAGTAAACAGAGGTTTCTTTGTATCTAGTCATTGCGTATCATGAAACATAGAAGGAAGAGATAAAACTACAGTCAATATTTGATATTTCATTCTCTACATAAAATGGATCAACATAAAGATATATTTAAAATTTAAAACAAAAATATAGTGTGGTGGTACTGTGTTCCCCAAAATATTGTGTACCTTAATAAACCTATCTGGGGTCAGAGAACAGAACAGCCACTAGATACTTAAGATAGGCAGTGATAGCACACGCCTTTAATCCTAGCATTCCAGAGGCAGAAATCCATGTGTTCAAGGATACAGCCAAGCATGGTGACTTATGCCTTTAATCTCAGAAAGTGAGACTTTAATCCCAGGGAGTGGTGGTAGAAAGCAGAAAGGTATATAAGGCACGAGAACTAGAAGCATTTGGCTGGTTAAGCTTTTAGCTAGTTAAGCTTCAGGCTTTTGAGCAGCAGTTCAGCTAAGACCCATTCTGGATGAGGACTCAGAGGCCTCCAGTCTGAGGAAACAAGACCAGCTGAGGATCCAGTGAGGTGAGGTAGCTGTGGCTTGTTCTGTATCTCTGATCTTCCAGCTTCACCCCAATACCTGGCTCACAGGTTTTATTTTATTAATAAGACTCTTTAAGATTCCCGCTACAATACAGTGCCTTGTTATTTCTTTTATTTTAAGTTCTGTGAATCCACCCCAGGACTGGTAAGCAAGCACTCTATCACTGACCTCCCTGCTACACTGCCAGGCCATGGCCACTACTTTGAAAGCATAATCAGTATATTTTTCCCATTCTATGGCACAACTTACAGCTTTGATTTTTCTTATTTATGTAAGATAAAAAAAATTACAGCTAATTTGGGAATAATGATGCATGCTTTTAATCCCATCATCTGAGAGGCAGAAGCAGGTGAATGTCTATGAGTCTGAGGCTAGCCTGGTCTACACAGAGAGTCTCAGGACAGCAGGCTACATAGGGTGACTCTGTCTCAAAAGAAAAAAAACCACAGCTATAGTGTTATTTATTTATTTTTTTAAGATTTACTTATGTGTGTATACCTGGGTGTGTTTACGCTTCATGTATGAGAGTGTCAGCAGAGGCCACCAGAGGGAGCTGGCCTTCAGAACTGGAGGTAGAGGTAGTTGTGAACCATCTGACCAGGCTACAGGATTCAAACTCAGGTCCTCTGGATGAGTAGCAAGTGTTCTTAACTGCTGAGGCCTTTCTCTAGCCTATAGTCATAGCTTCTCTAAAGGTGAAAGTTGAATGTAAAAAATTTGTCACATTTAGATTTAGAGATGGGATAATGTCAGATCAATAGTGATACAACAATTCTGATTAGTTTCTATAAATTATGCCATAAAGAGAAAAGCTTTCTCATGATGTTTTAGTTTAAAACTCAGATAGTAAAAAGGGATTAGAGACAGAAATAATTTGAAGTGGCAGTATTTTTATTTAATAATAGATATTGCTAACAGTTTTGCTAAAAAGACAATTTGACTATGAAAGGTTCAGAAGAAGTAACAGAGTCTATAAGTCAATTACACACTCTGATTTCATCAACCTCATTAGAATATGACACTTAAAATTGATGAACATCTGACTTATTTTTACTAGAAAGCAATCTCTTTTGTGTAAAAAGGAAAATACATAAACACCAGCACACAAAATATCATAATGATTGTTGTCAAACACTTTATTTATGTATAAAGTTTTGTTGCTAAATAAAACATTATTGAACCTAGTTATAAAAGCAAGAAATCCAAATAAACTTATTTAGGAAGTAAAGAATATAGTCAACTATCATGTTTTAAAAATTCTATAAAAATGAACCCATGCCGGGCAGTGGTGGCGCACGCCTTTAATCCCAGCACTCGGGAGGCAGAGCCAGGTGGATCTCTGTGAGTTCGAGGCCAGCCTGGGCTACCAAGTGAGTTCCAGGAAAGGCACAAAGCTACACAGAGAAACTCTGTCTCGAAAAAAAAAAAAAAATGAACCCACTACTAAATTACTTTTCTTCTAATTATTCACAATTTCTTATTTTATTAACAACACACACACACAGAGGGAAGAGGGAGAGAGAGAGAGAGAGAGAGAGAGAGAGAGAGAGAGAGAGAGAGAGAGAGAGAGAGAGCCATAGGACAATCTATATGGTTGTTCCTCGGTTGCTGTCCACTTTTTTGTTTGTGTTTGAGACAGATCTTGTTACTGGCCTGGGATACTCGGTTCTGCAGGCTTGACAGTGAGCCCTGGAGATGGGTCTGCCTTCCCACAGCTAGGATTATGTCTGGCTTTTTCTGTAGTTCTGAGGTAGAACTCCGGTCCTGCAAACACTTTACTGACAGAACTATCTTCTTGGATGCCAATTATTCACAATTTATGACAGAAAGTCTTCAGTATCTTGTTGGAAGAACCCCATAAAATGGGGTAAGTATCCTCATATTCCTATATTCTTTAAAACTCTAGAGATACACCTCTAATTGTTTCTACCAAAAGTTAGGAACATACTTACCAACAATCATGCCATTTTTATCACGTTTTACTCCCAGTTCCTTTTCCTCCTTTCTCCACAGTTTAATTAAAAGACTAGCAGCAGTTAGGTCTTTCTTCCCTCGCCAAGCATTGACATGAGCAGAGGTTTTGGGATTATCACAAAATTCAACCATTATTCCAAGTATCAGATTACAGAATTTCTTTTGGTTCAACTTTCAAGGAAACAGAAAAGGACAAAGAATGGTAATGAATACTAAGAATGACTGGCTTCCTGAAAGAGACACTTGGATATCAGCCAGTTCCTTCTGAGCTCTCTGACGGCGACAATGTCCAGTAAGTCATTCATGAGCATTCTCAAATACTAAAACTTAAAATAATAAAGAGATTTGATATAATTCTTAAGTAGCCATAAACACACTTCATAGTAAAAATGTATTCATTTGGTGGAAATGGAAAGACACTTTTCAAAAAAAAGAAAAGAATATATATATAAAATATAATTTATTATATATCGTATAATAATTAATATTTTATATATATAATGGAGCATGGTTATCAGTGACAGTTCACTGTAAGTACAGGATCTTTCCAATTTACATGTTTTATTAAGCTTTGAGATGATTATTATCAGCTATACTCTTTGTTATCAATAGAATAACTGATTTAACTGTGACAGTCAAATATGAAAAAATTAAATTGATGCATAAATGTGTACTCTATCATTAACTATACAAGAGATTTTCAGAATTCAAGAACATTTCTTTTATCAAGCATACATATTTTTTAACCAAAATACAAAATTTAAATTTAGAAAATCCCATCCAATACTACCTTTGAAACTTCAGATGTGTACATTTAACTCGGACCTGTAGAAGCTGGTAAACTAGAAAAGGTGCCTTAGGGAGAGGGTGGCTTATAGAACACTGGTGACATGAAAGAGACAGGGAATACCTGAGATAGACAGGAGATAGGAAAGATGGGGGTAGAGAAAGAGGTGATGAAGGGATAGAGAGGGAAGGCTAACCAAAGTGAAGGGTGTGTGAAAAAGCCATATGGACCCCTACTACTTTGTAAGTCAACTAAAACATGTTAAGAGGCTGGCCAGATGGCTCAGTGGTTAAGAACAATTGTTCTTGCAGATGACTCAGGTTTGATTCCCAACATCCAACATGGTAACTCACAGACATCCACGGCTCCATCTCCAGGGGATCTAATGCCCTCTTCAGAGCTCTATGGGCAATAGGCACACAGATGGTGCACATAAAAATGGGCAGACAAAACACTCATGTACATAAAATAAATTATACAAAAAAAATTTAAACCATGTTTTTAAAAAGTTAGGATGGAGATATCTGAATGGCTGGGTAATGCTGCTCCTAGAAACCCCTATTTATTAAACAGGAGTCCCAGTGCCAGGTGTAGCACTCTTCATGAGTTGTTGGCCATAAGGCCCCAGGGATCCTCAAAACAATACAGACTCCTGAAATTCTTTTTGATTGCTCACAGGAACCAGATGATAAGATTCTATTGCTTAAGATACCATACAGCTTGGTCACAAGATGTAGAAAAATCAAGCTAGAATGAGTTGGAAGTTTCCACCCTGCTGGCTAGTTTTTATAGTGCTAGAAGCTGTTACACAGGCTCCTGGGAGAAAAGGCATCAATGGTCTTACCCAGCTATGAACCCTACAAACCACAATGCTAACCTGCCAGGCAAGATGAGTTTACCAGTGTAATACTGGTACAACTTTTATGGGGCAACCAACAATGCACAGAATGAATTTGAGGCACTCTGAACAGGCGATACCTGCATGGTACTATAAATCTGGATAAAAATCATGGCTGAGATCATATGCCCTAGGGTAACTTAGCACTGTTGTTTAGCTAAAGTAACATGGTGTTTAACTACATCCTAAATATTGATGTTTATATCTATAGGCAAATGCTATTCATTCTTAAATCAAGAATCTTTTCTTTGTAGTCAACAGTGGTGAATGCAGATATTCATAGTTGCTTAAAGTGCTAAGAATAAGTGATAGTTGTATGTTCATCTTTAAACTGAATGTTTATATCATTCCCTCTAAGGCTCAAGGAATATCAAGAAAAAGGAATCAGAGAGATCTTAAGAGGTAGAACACAGGAAGAGGGGATGCAAAATACTATCTTCAGAACATGACACAGCCATTGCAAACATGACCTCTCAGTAGCTGTGTTTGCCTGCACTGGACCTGTACAAAACCGAGCCTGTCAACAACCAATCATAGATCAAAGATACCCTTCCCTGCTGAACTCCTGGTTACTGATGGATTCTGGGAAGGACAGTCATTGTCTTCTGTTGTGTAACCAATCTTGATTCTACCAGGATTCAGTAGATTCAGTTCTAAACCTGTGGCCATATAGATAATTCTGGTTAAAACCAATGGGCCACAAAACAAAACAAAAGGACACAAATATGGGAAAGAGATTTATAGGGAGGAGGGAAGGATGACAGAATGTAAAGGAGGTAGGAGAGGGTGACAGATGAAAGTAAAGAGGTTACATTATTACATGCAAGAAATTGTCAAAGAACAAACTTAATAAAACAGTCCCATCTACAACAATGGGTTCCACATAGTAAATTTTCTATATAATATATTCTTTGTTGATAACTCCTCTAGCCAGAAAACATATAATCTTTTGTTTGAATTGCAAATGTGGTCAGTTTTTGTGACTGCTATTCTTGTCAACTTGACTACATCTGGAATTAACTAAAATCCAAATGACTGGACACATCTGTGAGAGATTTTTTCTTAATTAAATTGGAAATGGGAAGATCCAATTCTAATCTGGTTCTTTGAGGTGGAGAGACACACTTTTAATCCAAATCTTTTGACAGTAGGATCATGCCTCTTTAATTTGGGCCAAACCTGCTGGCAGTCTACATAAAGGACATACAGAAGGAAGCTTGCTCCCTTTGCCTGCTTACTCTTGCTAGAAAGTCCATTCCTTCACAGGCATTACAGCCTACTTCTTCAGGATTCTGGTGTACAATGAAGACCAGCTGAGACATCCAGCCTCATGGACTGAACAACTACTGGATTCTTGGTTCTTCCATTGGTAGAAGGCCATTGTTGGATTAGCTGGACCACAGCCTGTAAGCCACTCTACTAAATCCCCTTTATAGATAGACAGATTCATTCTATAAGTTCTGTTTCTCTAGAGAAACCTGACTAATACAAATTTCCTTTATGAAAGACAGTATTACCTGCAATGGGTTTTGTGATACACAGTAAGTGCTCTATAATATTTAACCCTTATTAGCAGTATTATTGCACAATGAATAAATATTTTAGCAGAACTATATTAAAACAGAAAGAACCTTAAATCAAATGAGGGTTTTGTGTTTTCTGTTTGTTTATTTGTTTGTTTTTGTTTTTAATTCCTGTACTTCACTTTCAGGAGTAAGAAGCAAATGTCAGTGATCGAAGTTGGGGTAACAGCATTCTTACATTTATTGACTAAATCTACACTAAGCACAATTTAGTAACACCATCATAGCAAACACCTTGCAATAATGTATACAGGCACAATCTAAGTCAATGTATTTATATTCACATATGCATAGCATATTCATGTACATATAACTGAGAGCTTTCACACACACAATATGTCACTCATTTAGCCCTAATTCTGGGATGAGACAGCTGTTATTCTGTTTTATAGATGAAAACATTATGAACAGAGTAATTTACAAATTCTCTTGAAAAGACATGAAGGGACACAGATAATTTTGGTATGCTTGCCAGATCAAAGTAGGGTTATTATTCTGTTAATAAAATATAAAGTGTGGTAATTATACTGATATGTCTATGACTCTGTATGAGGCTTTCAAAATTTCACTGAAACTAAGTCATGACTTTCCTCCCATATAAAACTGACTACACACCTAATTCAAATCAACAGAACTGAGGGGTGAGTTCTCCAAAGCTGCTAGGTGGTAACTCCTAGCTCACTCCTGGTACACCACATGCCCTCATAATATCTCTGGACTGCAAACAGTTCTTTAAAAGGGTCATCTTTTTCTACTGTTGCCAATAACTTTAATATTGGGGGAAAGCTGGAAGTTATTGATTTGTTGATAGGGGTTTGATACAGGACACAGGGTAGCTTGTCATAAACTGTTTCTTGGCAGGTTGATAGAGTAGATGGGAAAAAAAAAATCTGCTCACCTGTGTCTGGGAACACTGACCTCCATAAACGGATTCCTTAACTGGAGGAATGTTCAGAATCCTTAATATGCTAGTGTTTCTGTAATGTCCAGGAGGGATTTTATTTAAAACAATGTATCTGGCCGGGCAGTGGTAGCACACGCCTTTAATCCCAGCACTTGGGAGGCAGAGGCAGGATCTCTGTGAGTTTGAGGCCAGCCAGGTCTACAAAGTGAGTTCCAGGAAAGGGGCAAAGCTACAGAGAAACCCTGTCTCAAAAAAACAAGTAAGGAAAAGAAAAGAAAAGAAAGAAAAGAGAAAAGAAAACAATGTATCTGGCTGGGCATGGTGGCACATGTCTTTAATTCCAGCACTCAGGAAGTAGAGATAGGAGGAACTCTGTTAGTTCAAGGCCAGCCTGATCTACACAGTGAGTTCCAGGACAGCTAGAACTACATAGAGAGACCCTGTCTGAAAAAAAACTAAACCCCAAACAAACAAACAAACAAACAAACAAACAAAAAACCCTCAATATAGCTGCACATTATTTGGGGGGCACATTTATTCACAAAACACTGTTTTCTGGCACTTGGTTTGGAAAAGATTAGGATAGACGTATGTATCTTTTGTGTTAGAGTGCTGTGGATATTACTTACTGCCAATATATCCAAAAGGAGAAAAATCCCTTCCTTTTCAAGAAAATAATCTTCAGAAGTATAACATCCCAAAATGCAGCACCTTTAATGAAAAGAAAGCTGGTTATTCCACAAATGTGTCTTTAGATTTAACTTGTAGACCCTTCTTCCTCTCATAGCATCTCTAGGCAAGCCTTTTACTTTGTTCCTTAAATCAAGTAGCTAATTTGCTTTTACTTTAAAAATCAAAACTCTGAAGAAGCTTTGTAAGTGTAGTTTAATTTTAACTATTTTTCAAGAAATTTCTTTTCTTTGCTTTTTTTTTGTGAGTATAAGCTAGAGGTTGGTGTCAGGTGGCTGGGCGCTGGAGTTACAGGCAGTTATGAGCCACTTAATCTACAAACTGGGAAATCCGGGTCCTCTGGAAGAGCAACACGCACTTTGAACTGCTGAGCTGTCTCTCCAGCCCTAAATTCAATTATTTTCTAAAACCAATACTAATTAATTCTCTACAAAATTTGCACGTGCAAATTTTTCCCTTTACTTTCATGACAGTGATGATTCTGAGAGACCTCTAGTTGCTGTAACAAGCATCTCTTCAAGTTTGTCTGTTTATCATCTCATCTCTTTCATGGTTTGGTGCAGCTGAAATATCTGGCAATTCTTGATCACATTCATCCTTGACAGTTGACATTTGCTGAAGTGCCTACTGTTCAAGTACATGTGGACTGCATGGAATGAGGGGCTGGAACTGCTCCAAGGCTACTTTTGCTGTTTTCCTCAGGAGTTTCCTGAGTAGGCTGTCTAAGCTATCACAAATAATAGGGACGATGGTAGTCATTAGTAACAGACTTTGATCTGTTTCTTCCAATCAGTAAAGACAACTTCCTCTGTCCCTTGGTTAAATATTGCTTCCTTTTGAAAACAAGAGACCAGGTTGGCTTGGGCAAACCTGTGGGGATTATGTTGATTATATTATCTGTGGTGACAAGACTCATCCACTGTGGGTGGCACCATTCCCTGGGCTATCTAAGAGTGGAAGAAACAAGCTGAACACAAACATGCATGCATTTATTCTCTCTCTGCTCTTGATGTAATGTAATTAACTGCTTCAAGTTTCTGACACCTTGACATCTCCAGTGATGGACTGGAACCGGGAATTATGAGCTAAAATAATTAGCTCTTTAAAAATCCACTTCTTCCTTAAGTGGCTTTTGTTCAGGGTATTTTGTCACAGCAATTGGAAAAGAAGCAAAGTTAGATGTTTAGCTTGCTTTATTTTTTGAGCTTAGAACTTTTCAACCTTTATAAGTGAGTCAATTCCTATAATAAATATTCCTCCCTATATAACTTATATTAATTTTATTTCTCTGGCGAACTCTGACAGCATTAATGCATCTAAGTTATCAACAAAAGCTAAGCAGAACACAGAACAAGGAAAAGTAATTGTTGTATCAAATGCCCAGATATATTTAAAAGGCATAATTATTAAAACAACACAAAATTACAAGGAAGTTAGAAGAATGTCAATGGAACAGAGCAGGGTCCCTAGAAGAGCCATCATAGAAGCATCATACTGCATAAGTAAGGGGACACTTACGTTTTCCTAGGTGACACCAAAGTGGAATGGGATTAAATCACAACAAGCAATTAAGTTTTGAAACAAATGGCTTCCTACTTGAGAAATGGGCTTATTTACTTCTCAAACTCATGTTTAGGTCATCTAAACAGAGAACACACCAACTTACCCCTGTAATGTGATTTTGAGGGGAGAAAATCTGTAAATTGAATTGTCTTGTACTGGGGTGTTCACTTGGTCATAGCAATACTTACCAAATGCTGTCTAACGTACTGAAAAGAAGCACATTGTAGCCTAAGCCACTCTGTAACTTCTTGGGGTCTGTTTTCATTACATAAAGAATTATGTCAACTCCTTCAGTTCCAAACATTTCCTGTGGAAGAGAGCTGTTGAAATCATTTCTTAGAATAAATATATAATTATTTTCTTCTTTACCTCACCTTATCCTTTTTTTTTTTCTGCTAGAAAAATAATGCTAGCAATGGTTCCCTTGTTTCCAAGCTAGGTTTGCTAGTTCCTAAACTAGGAATTTCAATATAATTAACAACTGTACTCATTTGGAGCTGGAGGTGACTTAGCAGTTTAGAGCACTCAGAGGGTATGGGTTCGAGTCCCAGGACATGGTAACTCACAACCATCCATAACTCCAGTTTTAGAGACTCTGACACCTTAATGTGACATCTAAGGGCACCAGGCACACATGTGGTGAATGTACACACACAGAGGCAAAACACTCATACACATAAAATAATCAATCTAAAAAGTAGTTTGCTTTAAATTGTACTCATTCATTCCTAGTTCTTCATGGTAAATTATTATAATGCCAACCACTATAAGAGGGTATCAAACAATGTGCTAACTTAATGTTCTTAGTAATTTTCTGTGTCTGAATAATGTAAACCATATAAAACTTGCCCATGACTTTTCCACATTAGAGTGAATACAGTCTGGAGTCATGCCCAAACGAATAGCAGGAATCAATATGTATCATGGACGATGTTATAATGTTCTCAGAAAAGGAATAAGTAGATAGATGGTCATTAAACCTTTAATGATTTATAGGAAATTATTACCCCTCAGTCCTTCCCCCTTACCAATCATTTTTCTCACTGTCATGTTGTTCTGTTCTAGCTCCCATTTAGATCATGATTCTTTTTCTAGATGAGCAGGCATAAGACAGAAACGAATACTACATTGTATGTCAAGGCTCGGAACTAAACCATTTTTTTTCTTCCTATTGCCTCTCCTTAAAAATCTATCCAGGGTGCTAGAGACAGATCACCAATCCAGAGTACTTGTTTTCTTCCAGAGAACCCTGATTTGATTCCCAACAGGCACATGGCAGCTTACAAGCACTCATAATCCAGTTCCAGGGGATCCAGTGCCCTCTTCTGGCACTGAGTACCAGGAATGCATATGGTGCACAGGAATGCCTGTGAGCAAAACACTCATATACATAAAATACATAAATCTAGAAAAAAATTAAAAATCTACCTAAACTTTTCTAATTTTTATTTTTTTAAATTCTATCTCCTCCTATCTAAATTATCAGTTTATGACAATCAATAGTTTTCTATTGCACTAATAAGTATCAAAGGGAATTAAAGACAATTCAAACTCCAAACAATATTTCTGACAGTGCAGCCTAGGATGGAAAGCTGTGTGGCTATCTTAGGTCTTGTAATTCTCCTCCCAGGTTTTTACTCAAAAGAAATGAAAGCATTACATCCACCAAAAGACAAGGTCAAGAATGTTCACTGAACCTTTAGTGTTAACCCATCCAAATAGAAACAGTCTAAGTGCCTATCAGTGAGGTAAAAGATAAACAGATGCTGACAGTTCATAGAATACCAGTGCGTGATAAAAAGGAATGATACATGCAACAATATGAATATATTTCAGAAATACCTATTTCTTTCTGGATAACAAAACACACACAGAAGAGCAAATACTGTGTGATTTCACTCACATAAAGCATACGCAAAACTAATCTATAGGTAAGTAGAGGTGTGGCTGCAAAGCCCATGAGTAAATGCGATACATGGATGAGATTGTATGGAGAGAAGTACATTACATGTTCCAATTTGAGTATTGGTAAAATATGTTATATACGTTCACCAAACCTATTGAAATATATATTCAAGCCCTGTGCATTCCACTGTATATAATTATATTCTAATTATAGCAAGTATTAAAATTGAGTTAGGTTTTTAAATTTTATTTATTCATTATGTATGCATGTGGGCAGCTGTGTGCCATGATGCATGTTTAGAAGTCAAAGGCAACTTTCTACTGTCTTGTGGCTTCCAGAAACAAACTCAGTTGTCAGGCTTAGCAGCAGCGTGCTAACTGCAGAGCCATCCCAGCAGCCCAACGTTTACAAGATTAGGAAAAAGGAAACCATTCATGGACTCCTAAGAGGATGTAAGCCATTAGGAGACTGGGAGACCTGAAATGTGGGTTCGCAGGAGTCACACACCTTCCTTTCGATATAATGCTCACAGAGCCCTGACAAGATGAGCAATGTGTCGGACTGGATCTCCAAGGCAATGGCCTCTTCCTTTTCATCAGGCTTGCTTGCCATATTTTTAAAGATTCCTGGCATGAGAAAAATTGAAGAATGTTATTATTAGATGCATTTTTTTATTATTTATAGTTAGGACCCTCCCCTCTTTAAGAAGCATCTTCAGCTAGAGAAAATACTTTATTATAGAAGAGGCTGTTTTCATTGCAGAGTAACCTAGAAGCTGTGGACAGAGAGTGGTAAATGGACTTCCTAAGCCCTGAAGTCAGTCGTCTCACAAAGAATTTCTATATATGTACACATACAGCTCCATGGGTATAGAAGATCTCAATATAATTATCAGTGTTATACATGAAGAAATGTTAGCACAGAATTAGTGGACTATCACTAAATTATGACCTAACAACTTATATTTTGACCAATAAATTTTGTTTAAAAACATGTAGTTTCAAGCAACACTCCCCGCCCCATGCCATGCAGCTGGGGCAGGCAGGACTCAACCAAATGCTGTTTACGGGAGCATGAGTGGGCCCACCTGAGAACGTGAGCCCGAGAGATCTGGTCCCGCCCCTCGTCTGCCATATGGCAGCATGGTTGGGGAAGAGATGGCCCCCTCACACCTGAGGTGGGTGGGAGACCTGCCCCTGCCTCTCTCCAGCTGCAGCACTTTGGAGAGCAGGCCCTGCACCTTGCCTGGGCAGCACAGTAGAGCTGACCCTATCAACAGGTGTACGGGTGAACTGGCCCCAAGAATGTGAGCATGGGAGATCTGGCCCGGCCCCTCACCTGCCATATGTTGGTGTGAGTAGAGGAGAGATGCCCTCCCTCCTTGCCTCTCACTTCCTATGAGGGGTAGGGGAGCTGACCCTACCCCTCACAAGCTGCAGCACTCAGGAGAGTGACCCCTGCACCTTGCCTGGGCAACACAGTAGAGCTGGCCTTGATGGTGCAGGTGTGGGAGTGCCATGCCAACGCTGAGGACATCGAAGCAGAAGAACTGGCCCCGCCCCTTGCTCATTGCTGCTAGGGGTGGACTAGTCAGGGCAATGCTGGAGAGTTCACCCTGGTGGTGAGCATAAGGGAGAACTGGCAGGCTGAACTATCTAGGCCTAGAACCAGGGTCATGAGTTGGCCCACCCCAATATCCGCTCCATCTGTGATCTGCTGGAGCACATGGAGGGGCTGGTCTTGCAGACCCAAAACAGCAGGATTTCCATGACACAGGGCAACAACAGGATATCCAAGAGGAGTCCCAGTGAAGGCCCAGCATTGATAGTGTAGCAGAAACCAGAGGCCTCTAACCAGACCATGGACTCTTTGCAATGAACACTCACAAGTAAAGATATATGGACTAAAGGGTTTCCTGCCTGGCTCACTGTGTCACACTACAGCTTCTATGATGAGATTTTCCCTTTATCCCTTTTTCTTTTCTTTTCTTTTTTCCTCTCAAATTTTATTTTAGGGGGGGAGGGTTGCAAGGGCAGAGGGTGTATATGAAGGGTTGGGGAAATGAGTGGGATTGAGATGCATGATATAAAAGACACAGAGAATAAATAAAAAGAAGGTTAAAAAACATGTAGTTTCATGAGGCAGGGATATATACTTCTGCAAATTTTTTATCAAAATGTTTAACTGTAGCTGGGCAGTGGTAGTGCATGTCTTTAATCCCAGCACTTGAGAGACAGAGGCAGGTGGATCTCTGAGTTCCAGGCCAGCCATATAGAGTGCTATACAGTGAAAGGCCACACAGTGAAACTCTTTCTTGAAAACAAAACAAAAATGTCTGACTGTAAGCTGTTCCATTTCTCTCTTTCTTTGTGGTCAACTAGTAGCAAATTTGGGAGACCGCTCTAAGTGTGTGTTCATCTGCTGTTTCTTTCTGTATCTTCAAGTCTACGTGAAAAGAACAACTCCCCAACTTTAGGCTGCCAGATTATGTGCTTTAAAAATCCTCCCCTCGTAATCAAGCCTGAAAATGACTCTACAGTCACTATCACTGATCAAATAACATTCACAATAAAACTGACTCAAAAAAGGAATTTCCTTTAAGCTTTAAGAATTTAGGAAGTCTCTTTTCCACTGGTAAAGAGGACACTGTCATTGGCAGGAAACTACGGGGCTATAGTTTCCAAAGAAGTCAACAGCCTCTTGTTGCAGCTGGTCCTATAGAACTATCCTTTCAGGATGACGGTGGGCGATGAGGCTCCAAGGAGCACAGCTGAACCTGCTAGAGAGTCAGAGAAGGGCACCCCATGCACAGAGGGTCTGTAGTGCGGGGGCACCCCATGC